TCTACCAGATTCCATGAGAACTACATAATCCCTTCTGAGAGAGATATTTTCAATGACCTAATTACCTCACATTAAACTCTACCCCTTAATGGTTCTACACCTCCAAACATCATATTCTCTCTCTCTGTCTCCCTTGCTCTTTCAAATAAATAAATAAGTGAATGAATATTTGAAACAAATGTACCCATGGGGCACGAATCACATAGAAACCACAGCATTTGGTATGTGATAAGTTGCTCTTCACTTACTGCTTCAAAAATTTCATGTTTGTTTATGGAGAATTTGATGATGTTGAGTCTCAATGAAGATTTTCATATTTACTTCATTTGAGAGTCTGTTTTCTTTTATTGGTGTATTTTATTTATTATTTGAAAAACATAGAGACAGAGATCTCGCATCTGCTGCTTTACTCCTCAAATGCTTGTAACTCCAGTACTGAGCCAGGCTGAAGGCAGGGGACAAGAACTGGATCCATGTCTTTCCCACGTGGGTGACAGGAACCCATTTATTTGAGCTATCGCTTGCTAAATTTCCAAGGTGCTCATTAAAAGGAAGTTAGAATGAAAAGGATAGCCAGGACTCAAATCTAAATACTGTGATATTGGGATGCAGGCTTCCAAACAGTGGCTTAACCACTATGCTAAATGCCTGTCCCTATTTGGGATTTTCTAGACTTCTTATATCTGGATCATTTACTCTGCAGATTTGGGAATTTTTCTTCCATCATTCCCCTTATACATGTTTTATTCTACCTTGTCTCTTCCTAATCATTCTGTAACACCATAATACAAAAATGTGTTCATTTGATGATGTCCCACAATTCCCGTAGCCTTTCTTACTCTTCTTGATTCTTACTGCTTTTATGCCTCTGTGGATAATTTCAAGTAATCTTTTTTCAAACTAAATGATTCTTTCTTTTGCTTGACTAAATATGCTATTGAAGCTCTGTACACAATTTTTCTACTGATTCAGTATGTTCTTTTTAAAGCTCATTTATTTGAAAGTCAGAGTTACAGAGAGAGAGGGAGAGAGAGAGAGAGACAGGGAGAGAGAGAAAAACAGAAACGGAAAGTTTCCCATCTACTGGTTCATCCCCCAAGTGACCACAACAACCTGGGAAAGACCAGGTAGAAGCCAGGAGCTTCATCCAGGTCTCCCACTTGGGTGCAGGGGCCCCAAGACTTGAGCCATACTTTGCTGCTTTCCCAGGCACAGTAGTAGGGAACTGGATCAGAAATGGAGCATCTGGGAATCAAGCAGGCACCCATATGGGATGCTGGCCCTGCAGGTGGCGGCTTTACCCACTATGCCAGTATGTACTGCAGACCCAGAAATTCTCGGCAGTTATTTTTTCTTATTTTTAACTTTTATTTAATGAATATAAATTTCCAAAGTACAGCTTATGGATTACAATGGCTTCCCCCCCCCCCCATAACGTCCCTCCCACCCGCAACCCTCCCCTTTCCCACTCCCTCTCCCCTTCCATTCACATCAAGATTCATTTTCGATTCTCTTTATATACAGAAGATCAGTTTAGCATACATTAAGTAAAGATTTTAACAGTTTGCTCCCACACAGAAACATAAAGTGAAAAATACTGTTTGAGTACTAGTTATAGCATTAAATCTCAATGTACAGCACATTAAGGACAGAGATCCTACATGAGGAGTAAGTGTACAGTGACTCCTGTTGTTGACTTAACAAATTGACACTCTTGTTTATGGCATCAGTAATCTCCCTATGCTCCAGTCATGAGTTTCCAAGGCTATGGAAGCCCCCTGAGTTCACCGACTCTGATCATATTTAGACAAGGCCATGGTCAAAGTGGAAGTTCTCTCCTCCCTTCAGAGAAAGGTACCTCCTTCTTTGATGACCCATTCTTTCCACTGGGATCTCACTCGTGGAGATCTTTCATTTAGTTTTTTTTTTTTTTTTTTTTTTCCAGAGTGTCTTGGCTTTCCATGCCCGAAATACTCTCATGGGCTTTTCAGCCAGATCCACATGCCTTACGGGCTGATTCTGAGGCCAGAGTGCTGTTTAGGACATCTGCCATTCTATGGGTCTGCTGTGTATCTCACTTCCCATGTTGGATCGTTCTCTCCCTTTTTTATTCTATCAGCTAGTATTTGCAGACACTATTCTTGTTTATGTGATCCCTTTGGTTCTTAGTCCTATCATTATGATCAATTGTGAACTGAAATTGATCACTGGGACTAGTGAGATGGCATTGGTACATGCCACCTTGATGGGATTGGATTGGAATCCCCTGGTATGTTTCTAACTCCACCGTTTGAGGTAAGTCAGCTTGAGCATGTCCCGAATTGCACATCTCTTCCCTCTCTTATTCCCACCCTTTTATTTAACAGCGATCACTTTTCAGTTAAGTTTCAACACTTAAGAATAACTGTGTATTGATTACAGTATTCAAACAAAAGTATTAAGTAGAACAAACAAACAAAAATACTAAGAGGGATAACTTATTAAGTTGTTCATCAACAGTCAGGGTGAGGGCTGATCAAGTCGCTATTTCTCATTGTGTTCATTTCACTTTAACAGGTTTCCTTTTTGGTGCTCAGTTAGTTGTCACCTATCAGGGAGAACATATGGTATTTGTCCCTTTGGGATTGGCTTATTTCACTCAGAATAATGTTTTCCAAATTCCTAACAGGGATCACTTTTCAGTTAAAATTGAAACACCTAAGAATAATTGTGTGTTAATTACAGAGTTCAACCAATGGTACTAGAACAAAAAAATACTAAAATGGATAAAGTGTTACATTGTACATCAACGGTCAGGACAAGAGCTGATCAAGTCACTGTTTCTCATAGTGTCCATTTCACTTCAACAAGTTTCCCCTTTGGTGCTCAGTTAGTTGTCACCGATCAGGGAGAACATATGATATTTGTCCCTTTGGGACTGGCTTAATTCACTCAGCATGATGTTTTCCAGATTCCTCCATCTTGTTGCAAATGACCGGGTTTCGTTGTTTTTGACTGCTGTATAGTATTCTATAGAGTACATGTCCCATAATTTCTTTATCCAGTCTATTGTTGATGGGCATTTGGGTTGGTTCCAGGTCTTAGCTATTGTGAATTGAGCTGCAATAAACATTAATGTGCAGACAGCTTTTTTGTTTGCCAATTTAATTTCCTTTGGGTAAATTCCAAGGAGTGGGATGGTTGGGTTGAATGGTAGGGTTATATTCTGGTTACTGAGGAATCTCCAGACTGACTTCCATAGTGGCTTCACCAGTTTGCATTCCCACCAACAGTGGGTTAGTGTCCTTTTCCCCCACATCCTCTCCAGCATCTGTTGTTGGTAGATTTCTGAATGTGAGCCATTCTAACTGGGGTGAAGTGAAACCTCATTGTGGTTTTGATTTGCATTTCCCTGATTGCTAGTGATCTTGAACATTTCTTCATGTGTCTGTTGGCCATTTGGATTTCCTCTTTTGAAAAATGTCTATTGAGGTTCTTGGCCCATCTCTTAAGTGGGTTGTTTGTTTTGATGTTGTGGAGTTTCTTGATTTCTTTCTAGATTCTGGTTATCAACCCTTTATCAGTTGCATAGTTTGCAAATATATTTTCCCATTCTGTCAGTTGCCTCTTCACTTTCCTGACTGTTTCTTTTGTAGTACAGAAACTTCTCAATTTGATGCAATCCCAAATGTTAATTTTGGCTTTGACTGCCTGTGCTTCTGGGGTGTTTTCCAAGAAGTCATTGCCGGTACCTATATCTTGCAGGGTTTTTCCAATGCTCTCTAATAATTTGATGGTGTCAGCTCGTAGATTTTGTTGAGTGAATTTTTGTGTAAGGTGTAAGCTAGGGGTGTACGGACAGTCTATTCAATAAATGGTGTTGGGAAAATTGGATTTCCACGTGTAGAATCATGTAGTTATTTTTTAAGATTTCTAGCTAAGTTGAACTTCCTTTGCTTACTTTTATTTATTTTGTTTGTTTTCTTGATTTTGTGAGTGTCAATCTGGATTGTATTAAACTTCACTGAGTTTCTTTAAGGTAATCATTCTGAATTACTTGTCACAATTCACAGAACTTTCTTTGGGGTCGAGGGTCAGTTACTTATTTTGTTCTCTTGATAGTAGTGTATTTCCCTGGTGTTTCATGGGCCTTAAGGTCATATTTCGGTGTTTGAGCTCTACAACAAAGTAGGCATTTATTCCACTCTTAACAGACTAACTTCATCCAGAAGCCCACCAACCATCAGCCACACAGAGATTCTAGAATCTAGAATTCACTGTGACCTGTAAGCAGACTTGTTGCTGCAGTCCTCAGGGGGACTGCTCTGATGCCCAGAGGTTTGGCCTGGACCCTGGATCCCCCGGTGATCTCCTGGAATAGGCCTGGATCTTGGGTAGATGAATACAAGACTGGCACCAGAGTGTACTGGAATAGCCTGGGCCTGGGCCTGTGAGGGCAACTCTGGCTCTAGAGCAGTTCTTGGGCCTGCATTTTTGGAAGTCGAAGCACAGGGATAGAACTGATACCTAGTTACATGGGAATAGCCCTGGACTCTCTCCTATATACTTTAACAAATATCTTCTTAATTCTTGCCACACTTAGATACTGTAATTTCCTTCCTAAAAGTCCTTAGTTCTTCTGAATGCATTTTCATACATGGATGGTTTTCACATTGATATTGAAGTAAGAGGACCAAAGCCAAAAAGTCTTATTCTGCCAACTTGCTCATGTCACTTTCTGAGAAATAACATGGTAAACACCATCAGTGCCTCTTGAGACTGTCACAACACCATTGGATGGATTGGGAAATGCATGAGAAGTGAGTATGGGAGAGATGTGTTTTTGCCTGTTTCCAACACAAACCTTGTGTGAGCAAACCCTACACTCTCATCACATTATAGTAGAGTTATCACACTTTTCCCAGAGGTGTAGGTGAAATTAGGCGAAAGCAAGACCATCAGTTTCCTTGCTGAATTACTCCCCTTTAGGGTTTGACTATGACACTGTAGCGCACAACACATTCAAGTGCAAACTAAAAATTTTATTGCTCTCCAAAACTCAGGCCATGGAATGCATAGAAGTACCTGAAAAGAGTGAGGAGGAGAGAAGAGGAGATAAGATGAAAAAAAGAGGAGAAAAGAATGAATTGCTCAGGTATGGAGGATGTTGGGAGAATAGACTCCTCTTCCGTTCATCTTCAACAAGGTTCCACAGACTTCCCACCTGATTAGTACCTGAACTTGCAGACATAGGGAAGCTGCAAATCACAGTTAAAATCTCGCCACCTAAGAAATTCTGGAGAAACAAAAGAAACAAAGTGAATATGGCTAAGGAAGCTATGAACAAAATGAGTGAGCATCCCAGATTCTGATCTAGGTTATAAAGCATCTCCTTCATCCTTGCTAGTGTACTACTCAAGGAGAAAGTGATTCAAAGAAAGAGTGGGGGAAGACAAACCAACATTGCATTGGCAGCTCAGGATGGTTCCACGAAGGCTAGGCCTTGGAATGGGGGATGAAGGGTGGAAAGTTTGAGCAGAGGCGACTGCTCTGTTTCTTACTTGAGGCATACGTCAGGCTTCCACAGTAACCTCGATCCGTGGCAGTGGAAGGGTTTCTCTCCCAGGCAGTGTAATGCACCAAATCGTTACTACTCCACTCCCATCCTTCTCCACTGGACTCAGTGCCCTATAGTAGTTGGTGCAGCAGGGTAAGGGGAACGAATGGCAGAGGGAAGCTTGAAAAACTCCTCAGCTGTAACACTTGATTTCCTCACTGGCTTCGTGGAATTTGTTCTGCTTGTCCAGGGCTTTCCCATAGACTTCTGCACTGAGAAACTTCCTCATGAACTGATCTCTCCTATTTGTTTGCCAAATCCCAGAAAATAACCACAAGACCTTTGGAATGACTCAAATTAAAATGTCCCTACTGAAAAATAATTGGCAGTGCATTTTTTAACTGGACTCTTAGCATTAAATATAATATCTATTCCATGAGGAGCCAACATGCATCTTATCTTCATTTACAATTGCCTCAGAATATTGTGTGAGACTCTCCGAAGTCCTGAAAACTGATTTACAAGGCCTCCTGGGAAAATTGGGTAAACATCATGACATGAGGCAAATTAACTTCACCTTAAGACAAGGGGCCTCCACAGTAATCAGATAGTCAACTGTCCTCAAGAACTGTGCAGCTCCCTGATTTCCTTCCTGAGCAGGCACAGGGAAGTGGACCGGTAGGCAATAGCCTCTGGTGCTGAGGAGAGGAGAAGCTGGAGCCTCACCTGTGTGGGGTCGTGGAGCCCCATCCAGATGTTTCTTTGGGAGTTCCCAGTTCTCCGGATCAGGGAGGACACGAAGGATGCCTCGGCCGCGCTGTGAATAGACACGAGGCTACCCAAGGGCCTCTTCTGGCAGGCCAGCTGTGTGGAAGGAATGAAAGCAAATCTGATTCACCCCTTGGGGAAGGGCAGGGCAGAAGGAGGTAGAAGGAGAGTTGTGTTAAAGATAAGGGGGTTCGTTCTCATTCTGAAGGGACACAGTATTGGGGACTGACTGCCGTGGGACCCAGGTGTGCCTTTACCATCCCCAAGTCCACTTCAGCGCACTCACATCTGCATCCATCCAGGATTTTGGAGTAACAAAGACGGCATAGCAGTGGTAACCATAGGCCTTACTGCCCGGGGGACAGTTGATCCTTGGAGAGGCCACATCCTGTTGAACATCTTCACCTGTAGGGAAAAGAGATAAAACCTAGGAATGGGATGAGAGGAAGAGTGGGGGTTGAGGGAAGGTCACACGGGAACTGGCTGTGGACTCTGTCTTTGCAGAGGAAGACCTTATTCCTGACTATCACTCTTCTCATGCTTTCAAGAATTCTTGATTGCAAAGTTATGCTACAAAGGAGGGGAGCATCTCTGTTCATTTTAATCTTCCTCCTAATTCAGTAGTCCAACACTTCCCCACTCGGGGATGACTGTTTCTACACTGGGTCTTCCAGTTACTCTGTTTTTCATTGCCACTCGTTGGCCTTCCTTCTCTATCCACTAGCATAAATTACAAAATCTTGACAAAATGAGAAACCATCTCATTCCACTATTCCTGGTCCACGGTAGTGCCTCCCACCACAAGTTAACCTGTAGGAAAGCAGGATGATGCAGGAATCGCGGCCAAGCTCAATTGTGTGCAAGCTCAACCCTCCACTACTGCATGAGTCACACAGGAGCGTTCCTCCTATTACTGAATTTCAAATTTAATAGGAAGCCAACTGCTAAGGAAGATACTCTCACCTTGGACATGAGACAGTAGCATCAGGCAGGAGAGCAACATCCAGGACGTTCTTGGGAGGGCCATGGGAAGCAGAATGGTCTTAAGACTTGAGGAAATAATCAGAATTCACCTAAGGAAGGGTAGTTGCGGGCAGAAATGCAGAGAACTCACTGCCTCTTTTCTTTTGTCTAGTACCCCAGGAAAGCATCAGTCCATTAGTCTTGGTCACATCTATCCCCTTCTGTAATTGTGCAAGCAACTGAAGAATCTGTGCACCCTGTCACCCCTGAGACCTCCCAGGGTAGTATTAGCTTAGTCTCAGAAACCTTATGTTTTCCAAGGGCAGGTACCCTCCTATACCTCTCATGGTAGGTGTCGGGCAAAGCCCCTGCCAGGGCAGTGATCCTCTCTCAGCTCCCCCTTACCTGTCGTGCAGGGATCTGTGATGGTTTGTCAGGCAAAGGAAGACTGGGCTTTTATAAGGGAATCTGAGGGAGGGGTACTGACAACATAACGGGAATGTATAGGCAGCACAGCTGTCGTGGGTAGGGCTTGGCATTGCTTCAAAGAGATTTCCACCATGGGGAAGAGACTCTTCCTGGAAAAATTGGGGTTTGCTACAGATGTTGCCTCTTTCCTTGTAGCAGGCCAGCTTGTTCAGATGGACAGGTGAAGGTGCTTTTTTCAACTTTTTCCCTGTTGGGGGCCTACAGCTTCAAATGTAGTGTTAAACTTTCAAAGGTAAACCTCCACACAAAGATTTCTTCTGATACGTCTCAAGAACCCACTTATTTGGGCAAGCATGTGTATTTATTTCTACCGTATCTAGTAAGAAAATTAAATGTCAATGTTAGTGAAGGTGACTACAGGAATAACAAGTAACACAAGTAGTTTAGGGCACAAAAGGAAGCTAACAGCAGGAGTGATAGTTCAGGGTTGCTACTTCAACATGGTGGTGAATAAAAAAAAAAAAAGGATGATCCAAAAAGTCAGCAGATCTTCTTAATGAAAATCAGTGTATACACTTGCATTGCCAAGCTCTCTGAGATGGAGCTTCCCTGATGTTTAGTGACAATGTGATAGCACAAGAGGCAGTGTAGGAACACAAATATCAGGTAAGAGAAAAACTGAATAATGATTAAGGAAGCATCCAAGAAGGCACTGTATGAAACCCTAAACACTGTCCTGTATTACATATGAGTCAGACTTCTACTTCCGCAATATGCTCACTGCCCTTCTGGTACCCATGAGCTCCTATGCAAGATATCCTTGTTCCAGTCGATTAAAAGCCATTTCCTTTATGTCCCAATCTGGAGAATGGCCAGCTTCACGTGGATATATGAGAACAAATGTTTTCAATCAGGTTTACTTCTGAGTTGTAATTTGGCAACTCTGAAAACCATATGTATTATATAGCTCATAATTATTCAGATTAATGTGTCCACTCCAGAAAAATGTTACACTGGGAACTTCCTCAGACCCTGATTCTCAGACTATTATGGTTATAGTTGAGTTTGTGCATGGATGTCTATAGTACAGATTTGTAATGTGGTCATGCAATTAATCTGATCATTAATTTAAGTGCTCATTACTGCAAGTCAACAGAACTCCTCAAACAATCAAATGAAAAAGGTAGCCAGCAGATTATATTGTTTAAAAGGAAGAAAAGGAATTTTTTTCTCAAAATTTCTATAAATATGTATAAATGTGAATTGATTACTTTAGTGAGTTCAATGGAAGCTTTCAAATGTAAAGAAACATAACAAAAATATGACAGTTAAGGTGTTATGGGATATACCTTCACTGATTAAAAGAAGTATTTAAAATCAAGTGAATAATAAGAATTACAATTCCATAGTGCAGTATGTCTCACACTCACAAAAAATAAATAAATAAACTTTAGATGAAAAGAACCTAAAGGGGTGAGCATTTGACCTGGTAGTTAAGACACAGGTTGAGACTCCTTCATCTCATATCAGGATGCCTAGGTTTGAGTCCTGGCTGTACTCCCAATTCTGGCTTCCTATGACTATACAGTCTGGGAGGCAGCAGGTGATGGCTAAATTAGTTGGGTCCCTGCCATCCACATGGAAACCTGGAGTTGAGTACTTGTCTCCCACCTTCAGCCCTACACAGTCCTACCCAGCCCTGGTTTTTGTAGGCATTTTGGGAATGAAGCAGCTAATGGAAGTCTCTCTCTCTCTTTCTCTCTCTCTTTCTCTCTCTCTCTCTCTCTCTCTCTCTCTCTGCTTCTCTCTCTAACTCTCTCTTTCCCCCTCTCCTTCCTGCCTCTCAAATAAATAAGTAAAATATAAAAATAATTTTAAAAGACCCTAAAGGCTGGTGCCACGGCTTAATCGGCTAATCCTCTGCCTGCGTCGCCGGCACTCCGGGTTCTAGTCCCGGTCGGGGTGCCGGATTCTGTCCTGGTTGCTCCTCTTCCAGTCCAGCTCTCTGCTGTGGCCCAGGAGTGCAGTGGAGGATGGCCCAAGTGCTTGGGCCCTGCACCTGCATGGGAGACCAGGAGAAGCACCTGGCTCCTGGCTTCGGATCAGGGCAGTGTGCAGGCCGCAGTGGTCATTGAGGGGTGAACCAACAGAAAAGGAAGACCTTTCTCTCTCTCTCTCACTGTACACTCTGCATAGCAAAACAAACAAAAAGGACTCTAAAGATGTCCAAAATTCAAATTTCGTTCACTGGATCTTGTTCAGTATAGCTCAACACCTAAAGAACAAATGGGGACATATGAGTATGGCCTGATATTTGGCTGTACCAGATTTTTAAATTTTCCTTCCTGTTAATGGAGTTATAATCAAGTAGAGAAATTTCCCATACTTTCGATACTTGTTGTGATGTCTTTGGGGAGGAAATACCTCAAAGTCTACAACTTTCAAATTATTGAAGAAAAATTGTGTGTGTGTGTAGAGAGAGAGAGAGGAGGAAAGCAAATATTTTGAAATAATAAACATTACTAAATCCAAGTGGAAGATATAATTTTATAAATCCAAATAAATATTAAAGTACTAATAATAATAAAATTAGAAGAGTTTTACTCTGAGGCCACTTCATATGACTGTGCAAATAGCAAATTAAAAACAAGGGTACGCAATGAGGTGCTCAATATTCTGTGTCCAAGCAAAAGTAAATCATGACTTCACAGTTAAAAAGCTGGGGCCAACACTGTGGTGTAGTAGGTTAAGCCTCCATCTGCAGCGCTGGCATCCCATATGGGCACTGGTTTGTGTCCCAGCTGCTCTGCTTCCGATCCAGCTCTCTGTTAATGGCCTGGGAAGGCAGCAGAAGTTGGCCTAAGTGCTTGGGCTCCTGCACCCACATGGGAGACTTGGAAGAAGCTCCTGGCTTTAGGCCCAGCTCCAGGTATTACAGCCATTCTGAGAGTGAACTAGCAGATGCAAGACCTCTCTCTCCATCTTTCCCTTTCTTTGTCTGTAACTCTGCCTCTCAAATAAATAAATTAATTAATATTTTTTTTTTTAACAAGAGAGTTAAAAAGCACAAGCAAGTCACCAATGTGTGTCTATCACAGAGCTTGAACAGTTTTGAGGGTGGAAAACTTGTGAGTCCTGTCTTTATCTGTAAGGTGGTCTGTTGCAGACCATATCAAGGAAGAGCCTTGTGTCTTCAAAGGTGGAAGTTGAGGTAGAGGTGGTTTGCCATCACCTCTGTTGTCCTTATCAAGCCATGCTTAGTTTGTTATCTTCCCAAATCTGGCCCACTTCCAGATAGAAGGTAGTCAAACTTAGGTCTTTCCAGGAGAGTTAATTATAACTGTGGTTTTTTTTTTTTGTTTGTTTTTAATTGAAATGGCATGGCATTTATAATAATCCTTCAGGTTATAATAACCCAAACTGCACTGTAAGACTTCTGTTTCATGTGCCAACCCACCAAATTCAGTTGTGTTGCTTTTGTTTTATTTGTGATTGTTCCTCTTACCAATCTTATTAACTCAGCACTTAGATGCATGTTCATATTCAATACTGCTGAAGCTGGTTTTGAGTTGTTTACAATCCATTCCTTGGTAATCAGGGATGAATCCTCAGAGTAACCAAGGCTGACTTTTGAGAAGTTTCCTTTGCCAAAACTGAAGTGACCAACTTGCACTTTTTAATCTCTATCACTTTCTGAGTGAAATAGTGTTTGCAGGTTAAGCCTTTGTATGGTTCTTCCTAGAATTTGTATGGGGGAAATGATCATATTGTGGGAGTCCACTCTGTTCCAGGGATGGAGAGATGTGGAGAGTTCCTTGAGGATCATTCAGCAGGAAAATTTTTCGTTCATGCCAAAAATAGCTTTGAAATGTATCTTTTTAAGATTGATCACTATAGCACCTCCCTTTGAAATATATTAACCATATGTCCAGGATATTATTTTGGTCCTTTCATCTTACTATAATCCTGTTACATGAATGAGAAAGATAAAATGAGGTTCTATGTACTTTGTAAAATATGACAAAGTGACAAAACTTCAAAAGCTCCTGACACCAAACAAGGAAGTTGTTAAGGAATTGAAAAGCCGACACCACAGCTCTTGAAATTTTGAAATTTGGCCAATCATCTGTAAACAATGAACATTAACTATGATATGACCTGTGCAGTTATTGGAAGCAATAACATCTTTATCAGAATATTCTGTCAATTTTTATTTGGTTTCAGACTTATACTGATCTTGGGCTATTGGCTACTTTATAAAGCCTACTGCTTGTTATTTATTTTTCTTTTAGATAAGCTACTCATAATACTAGGTATTCTCTAGTTAAGAAAAGGAATACAATTATGTTTGTAACTTATTATCATCAATTATATTCAAACAGCTTATGAATGAGAATCCTGCAAACCTGAACCTCATTTACAGAGTTCATATTCTTGATAGCAAATAAAAATAATGATATCATTCTTGATGGCAAATAAAAATAAATACCTTCATAGCCATGTGCTTCTCGTCTTGTTATATATTAATATTTTAATTGTGCAGAAAATATTAAATGTGTATAGAACTTTGACATCTTTCTTTTAATTTGGATTTTTAAAGAAACAAATATGCAAAAAGCAAAAAAAAAAAAACTATAATTCAGGCTGGCATTGTGGTGTAGCCGATTAAGCCACCAGCTGTGATGCTGGTATTCCAAATGGACAGCAGTTCCTGTTCTGGCTGCTGCACTTCCAACTCAGCTCCCTGATAATGGCCTGGGAAAAGCAGCAGAGGATGGTCCAAGTGTTTGGGCTCCTGCTGCCCATGTGAGAAACCAGGATGAAGCTCCTGGCTCTGGCTTCTGCCTGACTCAACCCTGGCTATTGTGGCCATCTGGGGAGTGAACCAGCGTATGGAAGGTATCTCCTTCTGTCTCTCCTTCTCTCTCTGTAATTGACTTTGAAAGGCAGAGATACAGAGAGAGAAAGAGAGAGAGAGGGAGAGAGAGAGAGAGAGAATTGGCGTGGACATTGCGACTGACCTAGACCTGGATGTTAGATTGGGGCCGCTGCTGTGAACCTGAAACTGATCTAGGCCATGTCCATTGTACATGCACTGAGAACTGATATTAAATACGGACACTGGAATTGGATCTTCAAACTCCTACTTTAACCATGGTGCATTAAAGTCAGGGTGTAGGTTCTAGAAACCATAGGTCCAAATTTCAGGTCTTATGTACAGTTTTAATACCCAAATTCATGTGACAAGTTCATTTTAATATGTAAGATCAAAAATCAAGATGTTGGTCAAGGTCTGAGATCCTACTCAGTCTGAAGTCTAAGTTTGACATCATGTATCAAGGTCAGTTTAAATATCTGCTTCAGGTTTGGGGAGCCAAATCCTGCTCAATCTATAACATTATGTCCCTGGTTCCTTAGAATTCATGCCCTTCTCACATGCAACAGACAGTCATGCCACCCTGCATGTTCCAAGGTTTTAACTTAATACAACACTAATTTAAATGTCCATAGTCCATGATCTCTTCTGCAAGTCAGGACAAACTCTCTTACCTGTGAACTCCTGTACAATCAAAGCAAGTTACTTACTTCCAAGATACAATGGTGGGACAGGAACAAGATGCACATTTCCACTCCAAACGGGAAATAGGGAAATAAGATTAACAGGAAGGGCCAAGGCAAGATGACAAATCAACAAGACAAAAATGAAGTCCTAAAGGTCCTTGGAAGCTTTGCTGGCCACAGTCCAATCTTCAGTTCTTGCAGGTTTAAGTCTCATCTCTGCAGCTGCTCATCTTTGCCCTACTAAGGCCTCTCTGTTGGAGCTCCAGCCCCATGTTTCTCCTTGTGTTTGCTGTAATAGAACCTTCCCAAGGTGACTCTGTCCCTGTAACTGATCACGGTCTGGGACCCAGTTTTTCCAAAACATCTACTGAAATCTAGGTGGAATTCTCCATGCCCACACAGCTCTCAGTCTTCTCCCACATGGCTGCTCTCTGAGGCTGCACAGTGATGTCTGTGGCTTTCCCAGGTTGGCCTGGCGTGCTGTTGCATCTTTCTTCAGCAGTTATATTATATCTTTCTCACATCCACTTTTTGGGGCGTTCCCTCTGCAGCTCCACTCTTACAGCTGCACTGTGCATTTCTCCATGCAAGTGCTCAAGTCCCACAGCATAACTCTTCAAGGCCTTCCTTTGAAATCTGGAAGGAAGCTGCCATGACTGTGCACTTGAATTTTTCCCACATGCAAACCCAGCACCAGGTGAACAATGCCTAGGTCTACCACCAGCAGGAGCTAGGCCTGAAGCTCCTTCCTGAAAGGAGTCTTCCCTGGAAGATCTTAGGAACACATTTGCACATCTGGGGCTAGCCTTGTGACACAGCTGGTTAAGCTTCCACCTGGGGCATCAGCATCCCATAGGAGTGCCAATTTGAGTTACAGCAGCTCCACCTCTGTTCCAGCTCCCTGCTAATGCACCTGAGAAAGCAGTAGAAAATGACCCAAGTTCTTGGGCCCCTGTTATCCACATAGGAGACCAGGTGGAGTTCTAGGTTCCTGGCTTCAGCTTTGCACTTTCCTGGCTGTTGTGCCCATTTGGAGAGTGAACTAGCAGATAGATTGATTCACCTCTCTCTCTCTCCCTCTCCCTCTCCCTCTCCCTTTCTCTCTGTCTCACTCTCTCTCACTTCCCCTCTCCCCCCCTCTCTTCCCCTCCCCTTCCTTTCATTCCTTCTCAGGCCAGGCTGAAAATTTTCAAAATCCTTTGGTACTGTTCCCTTTTGCTCCTGATTCTCACTATAAAACTTGCTAATAGCATAAAGGATATGATGGGGTGCTGGTGACTAAGGACACAGTAAGCCTTACTAGTCCTAGACTTTAGGGGAAATGGATCTCATTATGGCTAAGGAAACACTAGAACCTCGTAACATGATGCTTCCCCTCTTTCATAGGCCAACTAAATAATGCTTTGCAGCTCATGCTGTTACATCTTACCCATGTTAAAATCAAGCCATCAATTCTCCTTCAGCATGTTTCTCAAGAAGCTGAACTGATATTTAAGATTTATAAAAATAAGAATTTTTATATAATATATTTATATGATATAAATTTAAGATTTATAAAAATAGGATCCCATTATTGGACCCACAACCAGTTTCAGTGTTTGCCTGTTTCCTTCTGAACCCCTATGTCTACTTCTGACATGTTATTAGTTATATCCTCTTAAGCCCTTTTGAACCCCTTGAAAATCCTGAACCATCTCTACTCAGGAGTATGGTAGGTCTTTATATGTTCATCTGCTACATCTCATTCTCTTGAGAGAATCGACATTCTCTTTCCTTTATCCTCAAATCTTGTCTTCCTTATTCTGCTTTGGCACTGTTTACAAGGACTGTACTTTGGGTAACAACCGCAGCTAAGAACACTTACACTGCAGCACCAGTGCTACCTCAGACAAACCAGTACATCTCTCAAGTCAGCCTCACACATAGCCCTCGGACAGGGACACGGTGCAGGTAGGGCCCTTGCCGCAGGGTAGCAAGGGTGGTCTTTAGTCCAGTTCCCAGTACAATCCTCATTTTCATCCCAAACTTCACTGGCATGGCTTTTAGCATCTACATTTC